ATTTCAAAACTAGGAAAACACAGCCAGGGACCAAGTTTATAGCAGGTTTTGAGGACATGTCATCAATCACTAGATCTGAGTCGGAAGGCCTTCTAAATAGGAAATACACTTCTGCAGCTTGAGAAAGAAAAGACTGTTCAGGGCTGGTTTAAATCAGAGACAGGGATTTTCCTGAAGTCCCCTTTCCTTTCTCTTCCTACTCACTGCCTGACTGAGACAGGACATGGTGCCTTATCTGGGGCCAGGGATTTAGCTCAGTGGTTCCACCTCCTGTCTCGCAAGGGCAAGGACCAAGAAAACGATGCTGAGCAGTCATGGTGGTGCATGCCTGTAATCCCAGCACTTGGGAGGCTGAGGCAGGAGGATCGCTGTGAGTTCGAGACCAGCTTGGGCTACATAGTTCCAGGTCAGTCTCAACTACATAGTGAGACCCTGTCTCAACCCCCCCAAAAAACAAATGGTGCTTATTCCTATTTCCTGTTTGAAGAATCCAAGGAATAGAATTCAAGGAACTCTTCTTTTTTGTGTGTGGTATCAGGATTTGAACCTAGGGCCATTGCACTGAGTTACATCCCTAGCTCCTTTGTTTGCAGTATTGGGGATTGAACCCAAGGACTTTACCCAGCTACACCCCTAGCTTTTTTTTTAATTTCGATTCCAGATCCTTCTAAGTCACTAAGTTGCTCAGGCTAGACTTGAACTTGCAATCCTGCCTCAGCCTCCTAAATGCTGGGGTTACAAGCATGTGCCACCATGCCTAGTTTTTTGTTTTGTTTTACATTTTGAGACTAGGACTTTGCACTGAACTACAACTCCAACTCTACCCCACCTTTTTTGAGACAGGATCTCAGTAAATTTCCCAGGCTGGATTCAAGCTTGAGATCCTCCTACCTTAGCCACCAGAGTGCTAAGATTACAGGTGTGTATACCACCCCTGGCGATTTTTTATTTTATTTAATTTTTTTTGAGACAGTCTTGCTGTGTAGCTCAGGCTAACTTTGAACTCACTATATAGTCCAAGCTGGCCTTGAACTCCTGGTGATCCTCCTGCCTCAGCCTCTCAAGTGCTGGGATTATAGGCATGTACCACCATGCCTGGTGTTCCTTTTTAGTTTTTATTCTGAAATAATTTTAGATTTTCAGAAGAATCACAAAAGCATTGGAGAGGGTTCTCATACCAAGTCTCTACTTTGCCCCAGTAGTAACATCTTACATAACCATGGTGCTTTTTGTTTTGTGGTGCTGAAGACAGAATTCAGGGCCTCAGGATGGGCATGGTGGTGGAAATCTGTAATCTCAGTACTGAGAAGCCTGAGGCAGGAGGATTGCTACGAGTTAAGAAGCTACATAGTTCAAGACCACTCTAAACTACACAGCATGACCCTGTCTCAAAAAACAATGAAAAGGAAAAAAATTTTCAAGGCTTCACACATGCTAGCCAAGGGCTCTTCTGTCCCTGAGCTACACCCTCAGCGCCTCCACCATGGTGTGTCTAGCATTGAAGAAGATAGCACTGGCAAGGTTCTATAAACAGCTTCAGACTTTATTTGGATTTCATCAGCTTTCCCAATAATGACTTTTCTAGGATCCAAGTGTCTACTCCTAGTTAACAAATTCCCACAGTTTTAGTGACAAAAAACACACATCTATTATCCCTCACATTTTATGGGTAAGGAATCCAAGCAGCCCCCAGAATCCTCAAGTTTGGAGTCTCCTGAGGGCGTAGTCAGCACAGGTGTTGGCTTGGACTGAGTGCTTTCAGAACAGAGAAGATCACCCCAGCTTGCATGTGGTTATTGGAAACATTGCTTTCTGCAGCCTGTTGCATGGGTGAGCCCAGTTCCTCAGTGGCTGTCAACTAGAGGCAACCTCAGTTCTGGCCATGTTTGCCTTACTGTGAGGCAGCTTACAGCATGGCAATTTTCTTCCATCAAGGGCAATAAAAGACCTAGAGCCAGGTGTGTTGGCACAGAACTCTGAAATCAGCACAGTGGGAAGCTGAGGCAGGAGGGTCACAAGGGGGACCCTGTCTTTGGTTGGGTTTTTGTTTCTGTCTTTTTTTGTACCAGGGATCAAACTCAGGACCTTGACCTTGCAAGGCAGTCAGCGGCACCTTTGAGCTAAATCCCCAGCCCTGCTTGGTTGGTTTTTGAGACAAAGTCGTACTGTGGTATTCAGGCTGACCTTGAACTTGCAGCAATCCTCCTGCCTTACTTACTTGGGTGCTGGGATCACAGGTGTGTGCCACCATTCCAGACCCTGTTTTATTTTGTTTTTTAAAAATAAGTTTTATCTCATTCTACCCTTCAAGCCCCCCCCTTCCCTGTGTATAAAATGTTGTCCATTTTTCCCTTCTATTTTCACTTTTTTCTTGTCCCTTCCTTTCTCCCTCCCTCCTCCCTATTCCTCTTCTCATTTGAACATTTTCTGCCCATTTCCCAACATCCGTTATACATTTCAGTCCTTATTTCCACTTTAAGTTTCTCACATCAGAGAAACAATGCAGTATTTAAACGTGTGTCTGATTTATTTCACCTAGGAGTATGGCCTCAAGGTCCACGCATTTAGTGATAAATGTCTGAAGTTTGTCCTTTATGGCAGAGTAGTACTCCACTGTGTAAAAAAACCCACATCTTCTTCACCCATTCTTCAGTTGATAGGCATTTGGGCTGTTTCCAAAATTTAGCTGTTATAAACTGTGCTGTTATAAACATAGGTGTGTATATATCTCTGTGGGATGATGCTTTTACTTAGAGAAGATACCGAGAAAGAGGTATGTCTGGGTCAAATGGAACCTCTAGTTTTAGTTTTTTGAGGAAACTCGGCACTGATTTCCACAGTGGTTGCACCAGTCTGCACTCCTACCAACAATGGAGAAGGGTTCCCTATTCCCCACAGCCCCGCCAGCATTTGTTATTGGTTGATTTCTTGATAGCAGCCATTCTTTCTGGAGTGGGGTGGAAGCTCAGTGTTTTAATTTGCATTTCACGAATGACCAGTGATACTGAACATTTTTTCATATATTTATTTGCTGTTTCTAATTCTTCATCTGAGTAGTGTCTTTTGAATTCAGATGCCCATTTTTGGATTGGGTCTTTAAATTTGAGGGTTAGGGCAGGGGATTTAGCTCAATGGTGCTACACCTGCCTCACAAGTGCAAACCCCTGTGTTCAATCCCCAGTACCAGAAAAAAAATTGGGTGGAGTCTGATTGAGTTATTTATTCTAGATAATGGTCCTTTATCTGATGAATAGCTGTTAAGTGTTTTCCCCCAAGGCCAGGGATTTAGCTCAGTGGTTCTGCTGCCTGGCTTGCAAGCCCAAAGTCCTGAGTTCGATTCCCTGGTACCAAAAAAAGTAAGTTTTTTCCCCACA